CAATTTGATCGCCACCAAATTGGGGAATCATGCATCACATAACACATAATAGCACATTGGGAAGGGGGGGACACATAAATAAGCTTACCTGTCATCATTCACATACTAAGAATAGTCCTAAGGGGTTCATACGACATCCACCTAGGCGAACGGGTTACCGATTCAACTAGCATGCAAATCGTAGACTCTTTCATCCTACGAATGGTACCCGAAACATCAAACTAGACTCAAGCACGACAAACGGAGTCCGTTGGGACACCATGGGGAATGGGAAACATCAAACGGGGAAGCCAAAGACCCGGGGTAGGTGACAAACCAGCGGGTAGCCGGTGGGTGGAGGGCCACCCGTCGGCGACAACTTCCGGGCAGTGGGTAGGTGGTGGGTACCCCTACCCCCACCTACCCCCCACTGACTCTTTTATCAAATACCCGTCCCGGGGTCCTTTGTGGAACTTGAAACCATGCTTAGACGCTTTTAAACGTAATTAACGGCACCACATAGGCATTTAATGGATCGAAAGCAAGAATCATATTGAACACATCCTAACATGACTTCTAAATACGAACAACACCCGAACATGCAAATTCCCACCCAAATATAAATCAAGAACATCACAATACCAACTCCCAATCCAGCCTTGGGCTCTAATCCCACCCAAATCATCAAAATCATATTTTATTTTCATTATCAAGAACTATCAAGATTTATCAAGAATCATCACATAAATATCAAGAACCTCTTTTTAACATCAAGATCGTCAAGATCCCTCATAAAATCATCACATCAATCAATCAAGATTATATCACAAATATCATAAAGAAATTCATCAAGACACAAGTATATAGAGGGAGCCAAAGAAGGAGATCATAGCAAGGAAACTAGGTTTTGTTGAGACATGTGTTACCTCTTAGCCTTAATTAATTTTCTTGGCTATAAAGGGTCTTTTCTTTAAGATTTCTTCTTTCTTGATTTCTCCTATGGGAATTCTTGGGAATTCTTGTGTGGTGAAAGTTATTGTGGTGTGAATTCTAGGTGCCTCCTATGTTCCTATTTATATATCTAAGAGTCCTACTTAGGATCTAAATGGTATGGATTTAGCTAATTCTATTTCCTATACGACTAAGGGTTGGCTTTAGGGATAAGGGTTCATGGGCTTATGGTGGACCCTTCCTAATTAATTAATTAAATTGAATTCTTTCTTTTAGGTATATGTTTAAATAATTAATTGGTTTAGGGGCCGTAACACGGGGTGTTACATGGCCACCGTCATGGAATACCACAAACGGTTCCTCGAACTGGCCCGTTTCGCACCCGAATTGGTCCCTACAGAGACGACCAAGATAGAAATGTTTGTGTCGGGCCTCAACTTCGAAGCTCGAAAAGCCCTATTTGTGAGCGGACCCCGAACCCTCAACGAAGCTTACTCCAGTGCCGCCAACCTCTATCGAATCCAACTACTGCAACGTGGAGTCCAGGAACAGATTCGTAAAAGAAACACAGGAGGTGGGGCACCACCCGTAAAAAGAACGAGAAACGACACCAACTCAAGGCCAAGCAACCCAACTAGCCAAGGGCCGCCCCTTAGAAACAACGAAACTAATACGAGACCCTTCCTTTGCCGAAGATGCAACAAGGACCATAGAGGCAAGGACTGGATGGGAAACCCCTGGCGATGCTTCAACTGCGGAGGAGAAGGACACAAATCCTTCCAATGCACTCAACCCCCGAACTTGCGCCCTATAGTCATGGGCCAACACGGGGGCGCGAACAATCAAGGGAATTACAATGCCTCTGGAAAAGTATTCGTCCACTACAAAAAAACGCTAAAATAGCGACGGATATAGCGACGTACCCATTCCGTTGTTAATTTAGCGACGGAATAGCGACAACATAGTGACGGAGTTTCATTTTTTTATTACAGGGACATTTAGCGACGGATTAGCGACGGATATCACAACGGAATATTTCCGTCGTTATAAACGTAGCTAATTTTAGCGGCAAATTTCCGCGCAAAAATTTACGACGGATTTGCGACGGATTTTTCGCGGGTTAATTCTACGATTTTTTTTGCTACAGATTAGCGACGGATATCTACATCCGTCGCTAGATTTTAAAGCGATGTTAGTTTGTGTTATTAGTTTAGCGACGGTTATTTGTATCGGTCGCTAGCTAGCGACGGATATTTATATCGGTCGCTAGTTAGCGACGGATACTTGTCTCCGTCGCTAGGTTTAGGATGTTAGTCTATTCGAATTCATAGTGTAGCGACGGATTTAAAGTTCCGTAGCTAATTTAACGACGGAAATTTAATCCGTCGCTAGAATTAGAATGGTGGCGTAGCCGTATTTATCATCTAGCGACGGATTTAAGTATCCGTCGTTATATTAGCTACGGAAATGTAATCTGTCGCTAGCCTTATAATGTTGATATATCCGTAATTATAATTTATCGACGGATTAAAATGTCCGTCGTTAAACTAGCGACGGAAATTTAATCCGTCGCGTGGTTTAGAATGTTATTGCATCCGTATTTATCATTTAGCGATGGATTTAAATTCCATCGTTAAAATACATGCGGGTCAACTAATACACTGACCATATTTTTGTTTAACACAACGATAGCCTTGCGACCGCCTCTCCTCCCGATAAATCTCCTCCGACCGCCACTGGGACCAAGCGTACCGCCTCTCCTCCGACTGCCATTGCATCGTCTCCCACCGCCCCTGCATCGTCTCCGACCGCCGTTGCTTGCCCCGCCGACCGCCGCTGCTTCCTCAGCCAACCAGCCGCTGCTTGCTCCGTCGGCCGCCGGTTGACCTGCATCCTTTTGGTATGTGTGTTTATGGCTTCCCCATATATAATTTGTGAAATAAAGAGATTATGATAGGTTTTAAGCCTAAGTTGCAATAGCAGTAGTGCAATTTTATCACTAGGGTTCCTGCTTCCTACTTTGTGATTGTCCTGCGATTTTCTTGTGGTGTGGGCAGGTAGATGGGGGTTAGGGTAGACAGTAAATGGTGATGATAATGAATGTGGGAAATTAGAGATAAGAAATGAATTCTGAATTACCTTGTATTATTGGCTTATGTGAGTGTTAGCTTCCAGAGTACTTAGTCTAATGAATTGGTTCAAAAAACATCAGATTAAGCAACAACAAGTTAGATTACCTACCAATTCAATCACCATCTAACAATGTTGTGTCACATTCTGCTTTCTGCAGATTTGTACCTACAAATGACCTTACACCTAAGTACTCTATCTTGCACATAAAACCAGGGCACACAACACAATTTTTTATTCCAATCATTTACTAAGGAGAAAATGCAGTGTTGGTCTCACAAAAAATTGTATTTGCTGGAATAAAATCCCATCCCCCATTAGAGCAAGCTCATCCATGTGCATAGAATTTTGTTGGTTTTTTTAGGTCCATATAAAAGAGAGTAGGGAAGAGATAAGAGGAAAATGTGGAAAAAAAAAATTATGACAAAAAAGTAATAATTGCAAACATTATAAAATAATTGTTTCAAGATAAACACATAGATTTATTACTACTTTAAAAAAATGCACAAAGAGAAAGGAGTTGCAGAGCTCTCAGACAAACATTGATGGGTTTTGCTTCCATTTTTGTCTTGTAATGCTCTTAAGCTACTCAATCTCTCTCCCAAAGTGGACACAAATTTCCATTCAATCTCTCTCCCAAAGTGGACACAAATTTCCATACTTCTCACCTACTCTACATCCCCTATATATGCACTGTCCTTTCTTTTTCTTTTCTTGCATTATATTACCCCACAAGATAAGATCATATCAGATTAGAGCAAAATGAGAATCAAACCCTTTCTGTTGAAAGTCATTATTGTATTCCTGAGTTTCGTTGTGAAGCTAGTAAAATCTGACCCAGATCCACTCCAAGACTATTGTGTGGCAGACACAAAAAACACCAAAAACTTATTTCTTAATGGGGTGGCATGCATCAACCCAGATTTGGCTGTGGCTTCAAACTTTGCCACTTCAGCTCTAAAAAATGGTGCAAGTGTTAGCTGCTTAACTCTAAAAGCAAGTGTTACTAAATGCAAGTGTTAGTATATAATGGTGCAGGTATCCATCGAATTCTTTACAAGTATAATAACTAAAAAATGGAACAACCTATGTTAGCATTGATCCATGAACCACACTAATTACTTTTAGTTCTTTAGACAATCTCTTGGAACAACCTGTGTTGCTTAATATGTTGTCTTGCAAGTTGCATTTTTTAAGGCTGACCAACAAAAACAATTACCCTTCTTTAATCTCTGCTCAAATTATTACACTAAAACCTCTCATTTTCTCAAACAGTTTGTGTCATACATCTAGGAAGCATTATTTCTTTACTTTTTACTTTATATTTTAGGCTGCTAATCCCCTTTCTTTTCCCTAATGTTTAACATAGTTGTGGATGGATAAAACATGTTCCCCAACACGGATATATGAATGCATAAATATTCTTAAATTTTAATAATATATGGTTAGCTATTGTGTTTTATTTGTTGTCTTTGAATTGTGAGCTCAAAATGTCTAAGCGACCAATAATATCGTTGTATAATTGCAGTTTCAAGTCAAGAATCACAAATATTGGTTGGGAATCGCATTATTACACTCAAGATTCTTCAAGTTCTTCTGCGATTGATAAGGTATGAAAAATTACAAAATTTTCATTTGTTCTTTATTATTTGCCGGCTAAACCGCCTGTGGGTACCGGCACTTGTGTTTTCTCCGGCTAAACCGCCTGTGGGTACCGGAGGTTTATAAATATGCATGATTGTTTATTTGTTGTTTATTTTCCGACTAAACCGCCTGTGGGTACCGGCACATGTGTTTTCTCCAGCTAAACCGCCTGTGGGTACCGGAGGTTTATGAATGCATGATTGTTTATTTGCAACTTTATTTGAATGTCTCAGTGATTATTTAAAAAAAAATGAAATGTAGCATTGAAAAATATTTTGAAATAGGTGATAAATACAATGAGTTCAAATCGTCATTGGATGTATACACGTATTAGAAATGGTCTTCTCACCGAAGAGTTTTTGGCTGGTCTTGAAACTTTCATCCAATTTGCTACTAGTCAACATAGTTGGATGGACGGGGAAAGAATTAAGTGTCCATGTAATCAACGCAAGTGTCAAAACACCAAGTATTTAGATGTGCCTACCGTGAAATACCACTTAGCAAAATATGGATTTGTGTCAGACTACTATGTTTGGCGCTTCCATGGCGAGTACAATGTCAATTTAGATGTTGATCAAGACGTTGGTGGCCCACCTCAAGTGGCTAGTGAAGAAGCATCTAATGCTTACCAAACAATGGTTATGGATGCTGCTGGTCCTGAATTTAATGTGGATGAAATAGAAGAATCTCCAAATCCTGAGGCCCAAAAGTTTTATGACATGCTGAAAGCTGCAGATCAAGAGTTGTGGCCTGGGAGTAACAAACACTCGCAGTTGTCTCTTATAGCTCGACTTGTGAGCTTGAAATCAGAGAATCACATATCAGAAAAATGCTTCAATCAATTCACTGAACTTTTGAAAGAAGTTGTTCCGGAGGATAATCTAGTTCCTGACAACCTCTACGAAACCAAAAGGCTATTACGGGGTATGGGATTGCCGGTTCAGAAGATTGATTGTTGCAAGAACAACTGCATGATATATTGGGAGTCAGATATAGATATGACAACGTGTAAGTTTTGTGCCCACCCTCGATTTAAACAAACTTCTCGTGGTACTACAAAACGACAGAAAACTAATGTAGCATACAAAAAAATGTATTACTTTCCTTTGGTTCCTCGACTGCAGAGGTTGTATGCATCTAATGCTACAGCAAATGATATGAAGTGGCATGCAAATTCAGTTGAAGATGGAATCATGCGTCATCCCTCAGACTCGCTTGCTTGGAAGCATTTTAACGACACTTATCCTGACTTTGCATCTGAAATTCGAAATGTCAGGTTAGGTCTGTGCACCGATGGTTTTCAACCATTTGGACAATCAAGGCAACAATACTCCTCATGGCCTGTGATACTTACAACGTACAACTTGCCTCCTTGGATGTGTATGAAGGAGGAGTATATGTTCTTGACCGTATTGGTTCCAGGTCCAAAAAATCCAAAAGAGAAGATAGATGTTTTTTTACAACCGCTTGTTATGGAGTTAAACCAATTATGGGAAGTCGGTGTTCAAACATATGATATTTCAAAGAAGTAGAATTTTCAGATGCGAGCTGCCCTTATGTGGACAGTTAGTGATTTTCCTGCATATTCGATGTTATCCGGGTGGAGCACTGCTGGGAGGTTAGCTTGTCCGTATTGCATGGACAAGTCGGATGCCTTCACCCTAAAACACAGTGGTAAGCAATCGTGGTTTGACAATCATCGAAAATTTTTGCCACCGAATCATCCATTTCGTAGGAATAAGACTGCATTCTTTAAGAACAGAGCGGTTACAACTGAGGCACCACCTGTTCGGTCAGGATATGATATCCTTGCAGAGATTGAGACTTTAGGCCTTAAAAAGGTCACTGAATTGGATGCATATGAAGTTAATGGATTAATTTCCAAAACTTGCGGTTGGAAGAAGCGAAGTATCTTTTGGGATTTGCCGTATTGGAGTTCACACTTAGTACGACATAATTTGAATGTCATGCATATAGAAAAAAATGTGTTTGATAATGTGTTCAACACAGTAATGGATGTTACTGGAAAAACAAAGGACACATATAAATCTAGAGAAGAGTTGAATGATTATTGTCGGCGGCCTGAGCTGAAGCAAGACCCTATGACCAGAAAGTTCCCAAAAGCTTGTTACACACTTGACAAACCGGCAAGGGGAGCATTGTGTGAATGGGTTAGGAATCTCAAATTTCCTGATGGCTATGCATCGAATATGAGTCGATGTGTAGATATGAAGAAGTTGAAGTTGTTTGGTATGAAAAGTCACGACTGTCATGTGTTTATGCAGAGGTTAATACCAATTGCATTTCGTGAGTTGCTCCCGCTAAATGTTTGGAAAGTTCTTACTTCCACTACAATTGCAGTTGAGGAAATGGCGAAGCTTGATAATGACATACCTCTCATTCTATGTAAACTTGAACGTATATTTCCACCTAGTTTCTTTGACTCTATGGAGCATCTACCAATCCACTTAGCTTATGAAGCAAAGATTGCTGGTCCAGTTCAATATAGGTGGATGTATCCATTTGAGAGGTATAATTGCGGGTCTAGTTTTATGTGTTTCCAAACATATAATAACATTGTCACTAACATATGTCAATTGTGTTTAGATACCTTCGAAAATTAAAAAATAATGTCAAAAATAAAGCGAAAGTCGAGGGCTCTATATCCAATGCATATTTGGTGGAAGAAGCATCATCGTTCTGTTCATACTATTTTGAGGACCATGTTAGCACGAAGCACAGAAACATGCCTCGAAATGCAGATAGTAGTGAATATGTAGTTGATGAACATGAAGAAACTCTTTCTATATTCAAGTATCCGGGTCGAGCATTTGGTAAAGCAAAAGCGAGATATATGACAGATGAAGAGTATAAAGCTGCTCAAACCTATGTGTTATTAAATTGTTCAGAAGTGGAGTCATTTATGGAGTAAGAATTCACTTCTCTGTTCAATTTTCTTATACAATGTGTTATAAATGTTAACCCACTTATTTTTTTAAAGGGTTTATATTGAGGAGTTAAAGAGGAGTCAACCAAACATTTCTAGTACTACCATTGATGGTAAATTGGAAAATGAATTTGCAAATTGGTTCAATGACTATGTAAGACTTGTATATATATTATGTATATTAAAATTCAAATTATTTAATAAACTTTAACACTTAGATTATGTATTATACAGGCACATGATCCTTCAAATAACATTTCAAACAAATTTATAAAGGATCTTGCAAAAGGGCCACTAAGATGCGTTAATACCTATTCAGGGTATTATGTGAATGGCTTTAAATTTCACACCATTGGTTATGGTGGAGCTAAAGAAACAATGAACAGTGGAGTTTGCATAAAAGGTACAAACTATAGTGTAGATGAAAGTGATTATTATGGTCGATTGGTAGAAGTTCTACAAGTAGAGTACCCTGGCTTACCAATCAAGAGGTTAGTATTATTCAAGTGTGAGTGGTTTGACCCGACAAGTGTGGGCATGAAGATTCATTCTGAGTATAAACTTGTTGAAGTTAATCATAAGCGTAGATTTAATCGCTATGAACCATTCGTTCTAGCAATGCAAGCTGCTCAAGTTTATTATTGTACATACCCAAGTTTGCGTCGCGACAAACTTGACTGGTGGGCTGTTTGCAAAATTAAAGCGAGATCTGAAGTAGTAGTTCCTGAATCATCTATATCTACTGAAGAATCACAAATACCTGCACCATTTCAAGAGGAAACTACCGACAATCATGATTTTATGCAAATAGATGAAGACCCTTTGCGTTTGAATGACCTAAATGGTGGGGTGATAGAATTTGATGGCGAACATGGTGACATCGAAAATGAACTTGAGTTAGAGGAAGAAATAGATGACTCAAGTGGAGGTTCAGTAATAGGAGATAGTGATAATGGTATTGATAGTTACTACATAGTTTACATAGTAAATGTACATGTTATATTTATATGTTATTTAACTTTATTATATTTTATTATACTTTTTTAGATGACACGAGGTGGTAGTAGAGTTGGACGCATAAGAGGACGTGGACGCGGTGCATCGGTTACACTTCCGAGTTCTAGCCCATCATCGTCTGCACTTCCTTCTCCTGTGGCTCCTATTGTGGCACCTCCTCCTGCTATAGTATCTCCAGCTATTGTGTCACCTGCTTCTATTGGTTCACCACCTGAATTGCCGATTCCATCACCATCAGACTTTACTGCTCCACCCACATCCTCATCAGTTGCAGGATCATCTACTGCTTGTGATTTGCCTATTGTTCATATAGAGGATGGAAGGTAAAAATGTGTTTTTATGTTTACATTTATGTGTATATTATTTTTATCTTTATTAATCATTTCTATATGTACAGGTTAATGCCTTCTAACACATGTTCACATACAATTACAAAAATATTAAAGCAAAGGATCTACCCTGATGGGTATACTTGGAAGACGGTGTCTAATGACTACAAGGAATACTACTTTGAAGAATTTAAGGTAAATTTACGATATGTTTTTGAAAATAGTGTGGTTCATTCTTGAAGCTAGAATGTTATATAATTTATGTTAGTAACTTTGTCCAATACATCTTATGGATGATATTGCATATATTTGACAAATTTGTAATTTGTAATGTTACAGAAATATTTCAAGTGGGACGAGACTATTAACAGTCAAGTACATATAGCATTTTTAACACAAACAAGCACACGCTATACCGATATGGTCTCCAGAATAAAGAAGAATCGGACTTCATCTGGGAAGCCAGATTTTATACACGAAGATACATGGCGCATTTGGGAGGCATATTGGGATAGGCCTGAAGTGAAAGCTAAATCTGAACAGCAACGCAAAAATAGGATGAGTGAGGTAGCCGGACCTGGTACGGGATGTTCTCAACATACCGGAGGATCTAGATCAAGTATTGAGCACTTCCACACATTGGTAATACATTTAATATAAAAATTTATTATTTGTATATATTTTACGGATCTTAAGCATCATTTTATTGTTTGTGATTGTTTAATAGCGGGTTGAACTTCAAAAGGAGCCTAATCTGTTTGAGTACTTTGCGCATACCCACAAAAAGAAGGATGGTACATTCGTTGATGAGAGGTCAAAGCAAATCGCTGTAAGTATAACCTACTTGTCTTATATTACATTCGTGTGATGAGTTATTTAATACACATGAGTTAAAGGAATAAAACTTCAGCAAACTGACATATATGTTTAAGGAATACACATGGTTTTTGTAGCTTGTAGCTTGTAGATGATTGTAGATGATTGTAGATGATGGTCCCTTTTAAGGTTCTTGTGGGCTTTACCATGAATATGAACATAATAGTTTAGGTATTCTTAGTTTAAAGTTAAACTTCTTGTGTGTATATGCTACTTGTCTTATATGTTGTTTGAGGTCAAAGAAAATCATTGTTTGAGTGCTTATATGCCTTTAATCCTTTATTCTTGTCTTATTTTGTATACGTTTTTAATTGTAGGACGAAATACAAGCACGACGTGATGCTGTAATGCAAGAGGCGGAAGGGTCAACTGACCCACCAGTTATAGACATGTCACAGATGTATGTGGATGTTGTTGGTGGGGTAAAAAAGCAGCGCATTTATGGCTTAGGGACTAAGTCATCTGCATTTATCAGCGGGAATAGCTGTAGTTCATCTGCTACTTCACAAGTTCAACAAGAGGCAATGAAGGAGATGATGAACCAACAGTTAGAGACCATGCGATGTGAGATGGAAGCTAAACTACAAGCTGAAAGAACTGAGATGGAAGCTAAACTACAAGCTGAAAGAACTGAGATGGAAGTTAAACTACAAGCTGAAAGAACTGATATGGAAGTTAAACTACAAGCTGAAAGAACTCAAATGCAAGTTCAAATGCAGGCTCAAATGCAAGCTCAAATTGCAAGTTTGATGGATGAGTTGCGTCGCAATGGTATGCTATCCAATCCAAGTACTCAAGCTCAACATTCGGCTAATTCAAATGGTAAAAACTTAGGAGATGATTAGATTATGTTTATTAATATATTTGATACTGGTACTAATGATGTAACATTATACTACAATACTTTTGTTGTTGTTATTCACTTTGAATGCTTTAATATAGTATATTTTATAATTATATTAATCAAATACTATATTATAGCCTTAATGCATGTTTCTTATATTAATTAGTGGGTATAATTATTTTATTATTTTTTAAAATTTAGCGACGTATAAATATGGTAGTAAGGCAACAAAATAGCAACGAAAAAATCCGTAGTTAAATTTAGCGACGGATATTTTTGTCGCTAAGTTGTAGGTAAATCACATTAAATTCAAATAATAATCAAAAGTCTAGCGACGGATACTTTCCGTCGTAAAAATAACGACGGAACATAGCGGCGGTCATGTCGGTCGCTATATTTAGCGACGGAATAATTTGTAGCTAAGCCGTTGCAAATTCCATGGCGACGACGTTTTTATTTTTGCCTTAGCGACGGAAATTCCGTCGCTACATATAACGACCGAAGATTCGGTCGTTATTC